AGATTGCACCATTGCACTCCAGCCTGGGCAACAAGAGTGAAACTCCATCAAAAAAAAAAAAAAAGGAGCAGTATGGCCACATTCTGGAACAGCAGCTGTGCTGCATTGTGAGGGGTGAAGGACTCCTCCTGTCGGGGCCACCTGGACTCCCCAGAGCCAGAAGACTAGAACTGAGTTGCCCAATCTGCAAAAATGTCAGCCACCTGTCCCCCCAGGAATTTGTCCACCTCAGGCAGTCTCCAGTCTGCTGCACTGGCCAACTGGAATTCTAAGTGAGTGGGTCTTAGCTTGTGAGGTGCAGGGGAAGTGGGGCCTGCAGAATGACACTGCTTGGCTCCCTGAATCTCCTAGAGGAATGTAAGGATGGAACTCCCACCTTGTCAGGATTCCCAGGGCTGGAGACTGAAAAACTCCCGGGTCCCTGTGTGAGCCTCTGTGTGAGCCTCAGTGCCTAGTCTGCTGAGACTTTGCCCAGTTCTGTGTATTGGACAGAAGGCCCTGGTAGCTTGACCTCACGAGGGGATCTCCTGATCTGTGAGTTGCAACGATCTGTGGGAGAAATGTGGTTTCTAAGGCAGGGTTGCACAATCACTCACAGCTTCCTTTGGCTGAGGATGAGGGATCCTTTGGCTCTGTCCCACCCCTGGGGTGGACCATTGCCCCACCCTGCTTTTCTTCATTCTCCATGGGTTGAGTTGATTGCCTAATGAGTCCCAAAGTGAAAACCTGGACATTTCAGTCGAAGGTGCCAAATTCACTCTCCATTTTCATTCCTCTCCATGACAGCCACGGACTGTAGTTGCTTCTAATCAGCCATCCTGGCCCCTCCCCATTTCTATTTTATAAATAATGAGAAGACAATGCGCTAAATGAAACTCCATGTTATTTATCTCTGTAAATAGTTTAGCCATTACTGCTATCCATTAGTCAGAGACATTTTAAATAATTCTAACACTCTTTGATCCTTTACCTGAGAAAAGCAGTTTAATTAGGACTTTTATTTTTCCAGTGGTCATAGGCACCTTTATTAAAATAAAGGGCCTGTGTTTATTTAAATAGAAGAATTACTAAGAAAGAACCTGGAAAATTATATCGTAATAATTTTGCCAAAACTCTTCAACTATTTCTATATTGATTTAGGGAATTAAGTTAATTAGGTTAGATAATACTAACTCCCAGAACAAATATTGTTCTTTGGATTAGCAGAGGAAAATCTAATTGCTGATACTGTGATGCATTTCTTTTGATGCTTTGAAGCTATTCAGTAAAAGAAGCAAAGCACAGTGTACACAGCATGAAGTGCTTCTTTTAGTCTTCTGAGCCACCTTACTCCTCTCTAGCTCATCAAATAATGAACTGGCGTTAGTTTCCCTTTTTTTTTCATATTTCCCTTTCTTCCTAAGCAAGGACTATGCAAAAAGTTGTGTGGTTATTAGATTCATACACTATTTGTGTACTTATTGTGATCTGAGATGTTAAATGATTATATAGTGGTCAGGGTGATGGCAGCAAATTGTTGGCAAACTCAGATGACCAAAAAGAATAAAAGCACTATTTACAAAGATATGGGCAAAATTAATGGAAACCAACATGGGATGGTGAAGCATCCCTGGGTTAGCAACAGTGGGAAGCCATTAACACCATTTGGCACAAAAGAAGATACGGAAGGAAGCAATTCCTAGAGCAGGGAGTGCTGCCAGACCCTGGAGAGAGTGCTGTAGCTAATGGAATGAGAAGATGACCAAACTTAAGGAAGGTATCTGCTTCTAAACCACAGACAGTAGGAAGATGACAGGGAATAAATCCTCTAACCACTTCCTTCCAGCCCCTTGAACTCCAGCTGGTACCTCCTATTGGCTGAAACCAACCCAAAGCCAAAAGCTCCTGATTAATGACCATGAAGGTCATTGTCCAGAGGCACATATAAAGAGAAGTGTAGAGAATGGATCTGGCAGAGATTATATGATTATTTGTATGTGAATCATTGGTACTAACTTTTTATGAAGATTAATTGAAAACTTTTGGGAGCAGAAAAATATCCTACACAATACAAGAGTACGTGGAAGATAGTAAATGTTTGTAAAATGCTTGCTGAATAAATAAAACTTAGACTGGACTATAAGCATTATATACTCAGGTTTCTGAGGTCAAGTCTAGAACAGATTTTTACTTAAACTCTTAACAGTGTAGGCAATATCTATTACATCAGGCGCTTGGTGAAGGATTATCAACTAAAAAGGTGGCTGGATAAATATATGGGTGCATATATAATCAGATGAAAGTATAGATAATTCATAACATTTTATATACATTAGGAAACTTGAATGTAAACTAGTCCAACTGTTTCATTTTGCAGGTAAAAAATGGAATTTCAAGTTGATTAAAAACACAATATTGCAGAGTTAGAACCCAAAAAGTCTCATGACTCTAACCTCGTCTAATTAAAATGCTACCTCTAATTTATAGTTTACAATTTGTTTCATTCAAATAAATTCAAGAGATCTCTTGTATAACATTGTGACTACAGTTAACAACAATATACTGTGTTCTTTTAAAATGTCAAGAAAATAAATTTTAAGTGTTATCACCACAAAAAATGATAATTATGTGAGATAATACATATGGTAACTTGATTTAGCCATTCCACTATATATATATATAATTTAAAACACCATGTTGTATATGATAAATATCAACAATTTTGTTAGTTAAAATAAAACAAAATGTTTTAAAAATTGTTCCATTCAAATCAAAGTCAGTTACTGATGATGATGATGAGAGAGAGATAGGAAAAGCACAAGTACCAGCTCACTTAGCATGATCCATGATTTGTGAAACATGCTTTCTATACTACTGAAAGAATGTTGAGGAGTCTACTTGTTTCTGTGTGACCTAAGTCCACAATGAACTTGCATCCACAGAAAGTATTTGAGAATGTAGGTCTCTAAAAATAACAGCACTTTAAAAGTTGTCATTAATCAATCCATATATATATGTGTGTGTGTGTGTGTATATATATATATACACACACATACACACACACACGTATATACCTGTCTAATTACCATTATTCAACTAAATCTTCATCTTATTTTTTATGAAAGTACAACAAAAATAAGCTTAACCAATGCCAAATGTAAAAGTAAATTTATTTGTCATTTCCCCAAACGTAATTACCATCTTCCATTTTGGAAAACTTTAATGAATTCTGATTGATGGGCTGGGTGTGGCGGCTCACACCTGTAATTCCAGCACTTTGGGAGGCTGAGGCTGGTGCATCACTTGAGGTCAGGAGTTCGAGACCAGCCTGGCCAACATGGTGAAATCCTGTGTCTGCTAAAAATACAAAAATTAGCTGGGTGTGGTGGTGCAGACCTGTAATCCCAGCTACTTGGGAGGCTGAGGCAAGAGAATCGCTTGAACCTAGGAAGCAGAGGTTGCAATGAGCCAAGATGGGGCCACTGCACTCCAGCCTGGGCAACAGAGTGAAACTCTATCTCAAAAAAACAAAAAAAATTCTGATTGTTGAAACACAAATCATTAATTTCTCATCTGTAATTAATATTAATGTTTTAGGTCCATACATGAAAAATTGTGCCTTAAAAAATATTAAAACATTTCTTAATAATACTAGGTTTAAGTTTGCCAATCTTCCACATATGCTACAAAGATGATTTTAGTCTATCAAGATGTTTATTGTGTATATTTCATTTTTTGTTTATTTAAATTCTAAAATTTAGATGCAAACATTGTTTAGCAGCATCACTTTTTCAGTGTCTTGGATGCAAGGCATAAAACTGACTCTCATGACTTTAAATATATTATCTGTATAATATTTTAAAATTTTGCTTTCGAAGCCAGAAGCTATGTTGGAAATACCATCTACATTTATTTTTTAAGTGTACTGAAGAACAACACAAAAGTGTTATCCATATTTAAGTGAAACCTGTAATCCATATTTAAGTGAAACGCCACTGTAACCAAGCTTTGAAATCCAAAAGTGTCAATCCACTAAAATGCAGTTACTTTATTGCAGTTCAGAAGTGTGAGGAGTTGGTGACAGGATGCAAATCCTTCCCAAACTGATGTGGCATTTCACCACTTAGTGGCGCTTGTTCTCTCTAGCCTAAATAAGGATAGGGCAATTCTGGGTTCTATGGCGAGCACAGCCGAATCTCCAGGTGAGTGTCCATTTAGTGGGCCTGGTGGGAGTTTGGCTAGGAATATACTGGGACTTAGGGAGCCATCGTCCACTTCCCAGCTTCCCACTACCGGTGGCTTGTTAATTCCTGCGCGTCCGGGTTCTCCCCTGGCAGAGGACTAGAACTCCACTCTGTCCCCCACCACCCTGCAGCGGGAGTAGTTGGGGAGGGGAGATTGGCTATTGGGCAGAGGAAAGCAACCCATTAGGTCCAATTTCGCGCCTTTTTTGTGTGTGTATTTTTACTATCAAAATTGGTTGTGATCATCAACTCGATAAACATGAATCAGGAATATGTCTGTACTTTCAGAATCAATTAGTGTGAAGTTCATGAACCCAAATGCCCAATATAACACCGAATTGGTGTAAAGATACCATCTTCTGTTGTTTAGTACACCAATTGGCAAAGCAGGGAGAAACAGGTGTCCGTCCTAGATCACAGCCGGAGACTTCTCAGCAGGCCTCCTTCTTCACAGAGAGCGGTTTTGGAAGGGGAGTGGGCTGGGAGGAGGCAGGGGACGCCGAGAAGCACAAATTCATGGCTCCCCAGTGAGTGTGCCCGCACGTGTTTCTGCGCTGGGTGACTCGAGGGGCCCAAGTTCTGTACGGACGGGGGAGCGCGGGGCGGTAAGGACCTGGCAGTTCACCTCGCCAGCGGCTTTAGTGTCGCCGTCCCGAAACCGCGGAGCCTGACAGCTGAGCTGTCCAGCGCCAGGGGGCGACCAGCCCACGAAGCGGGGACTGGAGGAGGGACCAAGGGACGCGGGGCGGCGGCTACTCTGCCGCGCTCCGCCCTTACCTCCAGGTAGTACAAGTCCACAGTAGTGATCTGCGAGTCCAGGAAATCTTCATAGGTGTTGAACTGAGTGACAATATTGTCCAAGGCCTTCAGACCCTCTTCCTGATCCATGGTGGTATCCTGGGCCGAAGCGTCCCTAGCAACGGAAGCAGGAGGGCAGGGTCAGGAGGTTCCACCCACTTCATTCCTGCCAATCAGTTGAAGCCGGTGTGAGCTTCGGACGTTAATCCCACCCCCCGGCGGTTTGTTGCAGAGTATCTGGCTTCTGCCACACTCCAGAAAACTTTCTGGAATTACCCACTCTAAGTTCAGGTCAGATACCCATCCACCGACTCAGACTTCGCTGAACTGTTGAGCAACCAGAGAGGTGAAAACTGCAATCCAAAGTTAAAAAGTGTGACACTGCCTAGATATTTAGACAAAATATTAGGAATCAGCTCCCAATTGCATTCTAAAACAATGTTATGCAAGACAAAAATACCGAGATATTTTGCAAAAAGAGTTATCTCAAAAATCAGTCTATCAAAATGGTGTTGTGACAAGGACAATAATAAAATAATGATTTTGTTAAATTATTTTAAAAGTTATAACAAAGGTAAATTATTGCTAATGTTTGTGTACAAGAAGCAATTTATGAAATTCCCAAAGGAAAGAAACTCAATCAAAAAAATATCTTCGGAGACATTTTTTGGCACCAAGTTCTTGCTTTCACTTATTTTACTATTTTAGCACAGTTGAAAAATTGTGCTGTGTTGAAGCTGCCCTTTTTAAAGAATAAAATATCTGTGAAATCTTATTAAATAACGTCTTTTACTGAAGATTTTTGGTTTTCTTCAGAACAGTATTGTGTTCTTAAAATATGAATTTAAAGTAATCCAACATAGCAGCTGGCAAAATATATTCAGAACCAATCTTTGGATTTTAATATTTTATAAACCATCCTTGGGAATTAGCATATAATACAATTCTAAGCCTTTAACTGTTGCTCTCTAAGTACGTTTCTAATTCATCTTGAAGATTTTCACAGATTTACTAACAAAATTTTAATGAAAACATCTGGTAAGATACTTCAGTTAGCTTTCCTAATTTAAAAAGGTCATCTTAAAAATTAAGATGTCATGAATTGCGAATTTTAAGTGATATAGACACAATCTTTAGGGTGCTACTAACTTTTTTTTGTTTAATGAATGTATTCTGACATGTTTTTAAAGATATTTGGGGCCTTATTTTTGAATGCAATTTAATTATTGAATTTGGGAAAATAAAAAGGAGATAAAACCCTGGACACTGGTAACCCATCAAAAGTAATAATAGGCCAGGTGCAGTGACTCACGCCTGTAATCCCAGCACTTTGGGAGGCCGAGGTGGGTGGATCACGAGGTCAAGAGTTCAAGATGAGACTGGCCAACGTGGTGAAATTCTGTCTCAACTAAAATTACAAAAATCAGCCAGACGTGATGGCAGGCACCTGTAATCCCAGCTACTCAGGAGGCTGAGGCAGAAGAATCCTCCTGTATCAAGATTTCATCACTTTTAAGAAACAGTAAAGCATCTAGAGAATGTTTGGGTTTACTAAAATAGAGCACTTTAATGAAAAGGATCTATATGTTAGTAAAATGTGAGGTCATGGTTTGGCTATATATTGTTCTATTATGATCAATTGTGATTGTGCATTTTTTAGAGAAACCTCATTAAATTTGCCATTTGGTCAACATCTCTTTGATGAAGTAATCTCTACAGCATCTAAATTTAAACAATCAGGACATTATTTTCAGTCAATGAGTCTAGAAATGTCTTCTAACTCAAAGCACGGAGGCTGATTTTCAACAAATCAGCTTCTCTATTAATATCGAGAACATTCATAAACTGATCCTTGTTCCTCACAGTAAGGCTACAATTACTAGTAAGCATAACTCAACTGTCTTTTTCTAAACTTTCAATTTAACTTCAGAACCACTTCCAGACCTGTGCCTGAGAAATTACATGAAAGGGTGGCAACAAAGAAATCAGTAAGTTTCAGCAAGCTTCTCTTTTCATTGCAAGGCCTTTGTTATGATCAAGAAATACTTTATTTTGGATAACATGCATTCCTACTTCAAGTCTAAGATTTTTAAAGACTGAAACCTGGAATTTAGCACCAATCCCAGAAATTCCATTCTTTGCAAAAGGACAAAGAAGGATTATGTATTCATAATAAAACTCCAACATGTAAGAGAGCGGAAACATATGTTATGTAAGAACAACAAAATATATGCCAGATTTAAGGTACTTACTTGGTGGAAGTATATAAAAGAGTTTCAAATTAAGCTCTACACTTTTATATTCCAAAATGTTTGGCAATATACTGTGATAGTTGAGAAAATGAAAGGAAAACATACTTTGGTTTGTTGACATGATAGGAAGGGAATGTTTTGCTTATTATGTTAATAAGAACTTGAGGTTCTATTAAGATGTTCTATTAATATGTTATCAAATTGTAGGAAAAATATATATATACTTACTCTATTAGGACAAGAGATTTGGGTCTGGTGTTGCCCAACCGCTTGTTAAGTATCTATGACGGCAGATGAGGGCTATTGCTTAATCATCAGCCAAGGAGAGCTTTTTTGCACTTAGTAATAATGGTGACACTAAATTTACTTGAGCTATTTCTTGTAATGAGATCACTGGACTTCCTCACAGTCTCAGTTATTCTAGGATGCTGGAGTTCTGGTTCCACTGCTTCTCTGTCCTGGAGACACAATGTGTTCATGTGTCATAATCCAGTAGTTTGCTCCTGCCTTGTCACTGACAGTGTGAAGGGAAAATTCCAGAAGAGAGAAATACAAGTATAAGATGGAATTCCTCCAAGGACTGGGGTTGACAGATGTCTGCAGCTGATAAAGATGGAAAACTACTAGTGTGCGATGGGATAGATGATGGGTATGATCACCACAACCACTATTTTGGAACAGAGAAAAACTTGGGCTCTCTGTGGCTCTCTAAGGCATTACCAACAACCTCACTGAAAATTCCCTCAAGATTTTTGGCTACATGGAAATTAGCCTCTACCCTAAAACTCCACTCCCCCTGAATGGACAAACAATCAGAATATAGCACATGTGAATAAATGGCCACCACAATAAATGTGCAGCTGCCAGTTGCAAGCAGGTGCCCAGCATTGCCCTACAATCTACTATGTTATCTTTTTCTTCGATTCACTCTTATTTTCCACTATGGCTTTTTCCACTTTCTCCTCTCTCCTTAATCTTATATCATCCTTTCTCAAAGCAGATAAACTTAACTCTTATACCCAAAAGAAGGAAGTTATCACAGTAGATTTCCCTCAGTCAAATGCTGTATACAAGCTTATTCACATTCATATCAACGTTTTACTTCTTCCATTGTGTAAAGGAAGAGATTTACCTCCTCCCATACCTTCACCTCACAGGTTCAATCTCCTTCTGTCTTCTCAAGATTTCTCACTTTAATTATTCCCTCTCTTTCTTGTTGTTAATTTATCTCTCCCTCCCCACCCCAGCTCCTTTCCCATTTTAAAAATAAGCAAATGATCCCAAAACCCACCCTCACCTCCACAGGCAACTTTAGCTATAGGCTTCCTTGCCCTTTACAGCAAAGGTCTTAGAAAGAGCTATCTACAATCACCATCTCCATTTCCTTACCTTCCACTTTCTGCCCAACATTTTCTAGTCTGTTTTTACTCCTGCTCCACTATTTTCACCAAAGTCAATTATGACATCTTTGCCATTATGCCCAATAGACATTTTTTCTGTCCTCATACTGCTTGACATTTAGCAGCATTTCACCCTGTGACCACTCCTTTCTCTTCAAAATTCTCTCTCTTAGCTTTCGTTACATTACTTTGCACTGAGGTTGGTCAGTTGGTTGGTTGGTTGGTTGATTGGTTGGTTGGTTGGTTTTCCATTAGCTGTTTCTTCTCAGTTCTCTTTGCTAGCTCCTTTTATCCTTACCTCGCTTTTAAAAGTTGGCGAGTCTCAGGGTTCTCTCCTAGACCCTTTGCTGACTCTACACTTTTGTTACTTGGAACTTTCACCCACACTCATTGCTTTACTTACTGCCTTACATGCATATGGTTCCTCTATCTATATAATTAACCAGGTCACTCTTCCAATCACATATCTTACTGCCTAGCAGATGCCATTTGGATGTATAACATGTATAAATGAAATTTTTCCTCTTTTTGTGCCTCCTAATCTTGTTCCTCCTCCAGTGTTCCCTCTTTCAACACACAGGTTCCTCTCCTCTTAGTTGTCCATGTGAGAAACATGGAAGACAGTCTTGAACCTTACCTCTCCGTCACCCCAGAAATGTAAGACCTGTTATTTCCATCTCTCAAGTACTTCTCTTGAAGGCTTAAATTTCTCTCCAACCTAACTGACATTGCTTCCTTGCCTACGCCAAAGTTTGGCACCTAAACTCCAAGAATATCATCTTTTCTGGTTTCCCTATACTCTTCTGACCCCTTTCCATTCCACTCTTCACAATGTAGTGTTTGTTTAAAATCACGGATCTCATTAGGCCTCTTTTAAAAACCTTCATTGGCTCCCCATTACCCTTAGGATAAAATACAATTTTGTTCTGTCTTTTTGACATGGCTTACAAGACATTCCACATCCTGACCTTCATCTGATACCCTCTACTGCACACGTTACATGTTCCAGCCACACCAGACTTTTTTCAATTTTGAAAGGAGCCTCCACTTCTTTTGCTGCTGGGTCTCAAACATACTGTTCCCTCTGCCTAGGACATTCTTTCACAGTACACACTTTTTCCGTTTACCTGTTAGCTCCCTATTATAGATCTAAGTATAAAGATCGAGATATAGTGTCTTATATGTTCCCAGAGCACTTTCTAATGCCCTTATCATTTGTTGCAATATCTTGATTATTGTAAAGTGTTTGACAAATGTCTGTACTGCTTATTAGAATATATGCATATAAAGGCAAAGATTATGTTAACCCTCTTCACCACTGTATCTTCAGCATCTAACATAGTACCTGGAACATAATGATCCCTCAAAAGTATTTGCTGAATAAAACACTTTTTCTATATATTTCAGTCATTCCTTTTGGAAACAAGGTGAAAGGCACTACAATCCGTATGAGGAACTT